TTTTTTTTTTTTTGTTGTGCGAAAAAAAAAAAAATACATTAACGTCAGTGGGGGATTGGGGGCGGATGGTGGTTTTGTGTACAGCTCTGTTTTTTTACGGTCTATGGTATAGTTGTAACAATCAGTCGGTGTCCATCTGTGACGTCATGTCTTATTCACGGAACGATTTCCTGAGGTGTTTTTTTTTTATTCATTGCATTGAATTCACCTTTTCTTTCTTCTGCCAGCTTTACCTCCCACTCGGTAGACATGGTCTCATTTTGAATGCATTGTTTGACACGGAGACATTTTTTAACTATGATTTTTCTCCTGTTTTAAATCACACTGCATGTGGGTGAATTTCGGAGGCGCGTGTCACAGCCCCGCATGGCGGATGTGAAATCCACGCTTAGTCAGAAATAGACTTGCGCGTTACAAAAACCAATCTGTGTCTCGCACAGTCTTGACACGGTTGACACGGTTGGAACGAATCCACGGATGTTGAAAAATTCATACGGCTCAATTTTAATTTTACTTCTCTCTCTTCTCTCTCTCTCAATTTTAATTTTACACACACACGTTCAATTTTAATTTTACACACACACGTTCTCTCTCTCTCAATTTTAATTTTACACACACACGTTCAATTTTAATTTTACACACACACGTTCTCTCTCTCACGCTCTCTCTCTCTCTCTCTCTCTCTCTCTCTCTCTCTCTCTCTCTCAACTGCCCCTCGCGCCCACTGTTCTCGTGCTCTAGTCTGAGTTGAGCTGACTGTGGTAAAAGGCTTGTGCTTTCTGTGTGCAGTTACCAGTGAAGTCTAAGCAAAAAAAGATGATTTGCGAATTTTCCTCGTTGACTGTGGAGGATGAGATTCATGTCTAGTCTTTAGTGCTGCGGGTGTGCTTGTGTGTGTCTAGACGCTTGATGGTATTATATCACACAGTCACGGCAGCCCTAAATCACATTAAGTGAGGAGCAGAGGAATTCCCATAACTGAGAGCTTCTTCTGTGAAACCTGACTGATAGACTGACGGGTAACTCCGATCAGCCCGCCTGCGATTTACCAGCTCTCCAAACAGCCTCTGGGAAGAGCTATCACATTTAGTGTTACTCATCATTCCCCAGATAAAGTAGAGACCATAATTCAAATTCTTGCATGTCATGAAAACACATATGGCTTACATTTCTGCTCATTTCTCAATGCCTACACTGGTGGATGACGATAAGACTGTTTATTCACAATTTTTATTAGGATTTATATTTAAACAGTAGAGCATGACTCTAGCAACAGCAAGGTCTGATTACCATAAAATGTATGCATTGTAAGTCACTTTTGAGCAGCTGCCAAATGCATAAATGGATCTAATGGGGGCGCAACAAAGTCAAAACACTTAAAATTAAAACATTTAACAACAATAATGTCTACAGCAGAAATATGTTGGATCAAATGTGAATACAATTAAGTCAAGACTTATAAAATCATCATAGGTGTACATTTTTTAAATATCTAAACCAGTTACAAATTAATTATTATTAGGCATGATCTAATGTATATACTGGGAAAAAAGTGAATGCAACAAGCATCCATAAAAGTACTAAAAATTAAATCTAAAAATTACATTCCCTAAAGCATTTACAAATTAGCGTACTGATCTGATGTGTATGTAAATCTAATGTGAATACAATAAAGATAAAGAAATTATCCTTTTTTTAAAAAATAAAACTGGTAAAACTTTAGATTAGGGAACACATTCAAGAGTTCCCCTCAATAAACTTCTAACTTGCTGCTTATTGATAATAAGTAAGGTACAGTAGTTATTTGTAGCATTGCTTAGGTATTGGGTTAAGGGATCTAGAACAGTGTTTCCCAACCTGCCCCGGTTGGGAAACACTGATCTAGAATATGATCATGCAGAATAAGGTATTAATATGTTCTTTATAAGTACTAATAAACAGCCAATATGATAATAATATGCATGCTAATAAGCAAGTTAATAGTGAATAGTGTTCCCTAATCTAAACTGTTACCAAAAAGCTTAAAAACAGGGATCTGTATATCCAGCATAGTATATCTGATGTATATCATGTAAAGCGCTTTGAGTGCCTAGAAAAGCGCTATATAAATGTAACGCATTATTATTATTATCTAATTGGATCAAATATAACAATAAAAACAATAAAAAAAAATCTCTACATCACTAACAAATTTGCAAACGGAATCAAATGTGAATGCAACAGTGTGTAGAACCCAAAAAATTACTTCATTTAAAATGTTTTTTTTTAAATCCCTGAACCATTAAAAAATGAGTGCAACACCTGATCTGTTCAGAACCGCAGACAGCGCTCATGTCCTGGGCTCAGTTGGTGTGCTGCTGACTGCTGAGATCCATCGCTTCAGTCTCACAGGTGCTAGTATCTGTGGATTTTGAAGTTAGAATTCAAAGTGAGTGGGGAAAAAAAGTCACATGTATTTCTGTGGTCCAAAACCACAAGAATCATGTTCAGTTTTGAAGGACTTTAATATCAAGCGCAATCTTGTTTTATTCATGCCTGCATCAACGTTGACACTAAATATAGCATTGCACAAAATTATTAATAAGACGCCTGTCTGCACACAAGACTAAAAACACAGTCTATTCTATACGGTCTTTATGGATGTAGGTTGTGAGATGAAAA